GAACTTATTCCAATTAATTAAGAAACTAAAATTAATAATATAGTGTCTTTGCAGTTTCCAATAAATTAAGAAGCTAAAATTAATCAGGAAAACCTGCATATATAAAGTAAATAACACTCAAAACCAAATTACAAGCATTGAATTGTTAGATACTCTCTGAGCGTTCCTTAAGGATGCAAACAGAAATGAACCGTCCCCATCAATAATTAAGAAAAGCTATAGCCAACAATGTATCTCCCTCAAAATAGCGAAAGCTTGTTGAAATCAAAGGGATTTGAGGAAAACTCTTGCCGCCCTAGTGGAGTGCAAAAGTTACCTAAAATAGTAAAATGTCTATATCCAAATGAAGAAAATATAATAGAAAAATGTGAAAACTTTTGATCAGTTGCAACAATAAGGCTAAAACAAATAAAGGTGGCATCAGAACCTAATGACAATACCATAGATGCAGGAGTAGCAATTACAAGTAACTGTAAAAAATTAACTCAACCGAGATGCAAATTCTATCGAACTCAAAAATAAAATTGACAAATTCTATAAGCTACCAAACGATCTCTCATCAAACAGAACTAAGGAGAGAACCAACTCTTATCAATTCCAAAAAATCCATATAAATTTTAGTTCCCAAATGCCATTTAACGCAAGAGCAGATGGATCGTAGAAATGATTGAATTGCAAAAACATAAATATCCGTTGCTTCTATTAAGAAGATGCTTTGGGATTATCAAGTGCTCAAGATTGACATGAAAATTGTTAGAGAAGAAGAGTTCTAAGTATCTAACCTCTTCCAAATATACTATGTGAAGAAACCCTTCAGAGCCATTTGACTCAGAGCGTAGGGTAGCCTCATTGACAATAATGGCACTCTAAATTTTCCCTCCATAAAGCGAGAAAGGGGAAGAAATTTCGAATCCATCGTGAATGCTAGAGGTAGTTCCACGAGATTTCATCGCTAAAGCAAAACCTAGCGTGCGGTAGGAGATGTCGTTGCTGCGAAAGCGAAACAGGCAGGTCGGGTAGGGGGTTGAACCGGGTAGGAGGAGAGAAGTTTAAATGCTAATTTTATCAATGTAACTTAGAAGCCATCTTTACTTTTTGTCGCAAAAGTATATTTTTATAGTCCATTTTTTGTCTCTAATTTTTTGGACGCTAATAATGTATTTTCTTGTAGTTTAGAAGGATCATAGTTGGTGTGTGACAATGGATAGAAGGACAGTAGTCGGCGAGCGACGATGGTCGGAGTGGACCATAGTCGGCGGGTGATGGTGGTCATAAAGATCTTGTTCGACAGTCGACAGTGGTCAGAAGAATCGTAATCTAGCGACAGTCGATGGCCGGGGGAAGTCCAGTGATAATTTATGGCTGGGTGTAAGTCCGGTGATAGTGGGTGGCTAGGCGAAAGTTTGACGAAAGTTGTTGGATGAGCGGAAGTCTAGCGAATGTCTAACGACGGTCGGTGGTCGGGCGATGGTCGAGGAGTCTAGTGTCAAGGGAGCTCTCCTATTTTTCTTCATCTCTTCTCTTCATTCTCTTCTTTTCTCCCCCATCTCAAGGGAAGAATGAGAGGTCTATTTATAATTTTATGGGTGGTATGACCAGTAAATATGGAAAAGAAGAAGGGCGCATTGAAAGTGTTTTTGAATGGACAGCCGATATCGACTCCCTTGATCATATATCATTTATAAAAAATGTAAGTGTCTTAATGATGTCAGAATTTGAAAATCTTAGGCTCGTCGGATTAGTCTCATCAAACTGCTCGATTTGACTATAATCATGTTACATTTGGATGTCATTTGATTATCCAATTTATGCTTTGAATCTTTTGAATGTGCTTCAAGTCCTTGATTTGGGCCTGTTTGGGCTCGAAATAGATCAAAATTGGTGTTGTTAGATTCATCTTTTCGAGACGTTTAGTTTGATTATAAGTTTAATAAAATCAGAGTTCAGATACCCTTGAATTTAATTTTGAAAGTTTTTAATGCAAATTTGCCTCGAGATTCTTTCTCGATCAAGATAATTTTTTGATGATACATTAATAAAATATTTAATTTTTGAGATTTTTTGAGAATAAAAAAAAATTATAGCTTTTAAGGATTTTAGATTTATGAAGTTTTAGCATAACTAAAAAAATTATATATATCTTATGAGATTTTTATTCTTATAAAATTATGGAGAATTAGAGAATTTTACTTTATGAGACTTAGTCATGTGTAATTTTTGAATGATTGGAGAAGCATGTACATTTTGAATCTTTTAGCACTTTTAAGGTTTTTGATTGAGCGGATACTTGGATCCAATGCTTTTAAAATCGGATCGGACCGGTCGAACCGTGAATTGGTCGGTTGATAGGTTACGGTTCACTCTATAATCAGTTTCGCAGGGAATCGATATCGAACTGCTCGAATCTGTGATTCGACCGCTGAACCGTCGAACCGCTCGCGGTTTCAGATAACCAGCTGGTTCAGCTATAGTGCGGTTGAGCGAAGATCGACGACTGAGATTAGCGGTTTGGCGAAGATCGACGAGTGAGATTAACGAAGGCGAACCTTATACGTAGAGAGGAAAAAAAAATCCTACAACTCATTCGGATTTCATCCCATATGTTCTTCCTGTTAGGCGTCTCCGACGTCTCATGCTCATTCTCGAAGCCAAAGCCTACAGTCTTGCTCATTCGTGAAGCCAAAAGCCAACACCTTCTCTGATTGGCACAAGATTGCTCGTTCGTGAGGCCACTGAGAACTTTTTTTGCATTCCAAAGGCTCACTGGATTTGAATTCGAGGTACTCAAATGTCTAATTCTTCCCATTTTCTTCTTCGCCTCGACTATTTGAATCTAGGGTTCTCCTGTGCACTGTGGCTATTGATAAGTTGATAAAAAAAATATCGATGATTTTTTATGTTTGGAAAACACAATGGATTGAGCGAGGCATTACTTCGTCTAGTTTTACCTCAAAAATTACAGTCTATTCATATAAAATAGTAATTTTAGCTAAGATTCATGTCGGATTTAGGTGCTTTATGATTGATGAACTATTTTCGAATTCTTCTTTTCTTTCCGTGTTGCTCGCCATTATCAGAACTGATTCAGTAACACTGAATTGTTCCTATTTTATTTATCATTTGACTTTTTTTTTATTGATGGATACTGAATTGTTCCAATGTTCAAAAATGTATGTGACTTGTATAGCCTTATCTAATTTCAAGATAACAAAATTTAAGCAAGCTATGCCTTATGTCAATAAGATGAGTGAATTGTAGAGATCTCACAGAAAAGAGTACATTTTCTAGTGTCTCAAAACTCGTGAGTATAAATAGTTGTGTTTAAACTAGATTTTTGTAATGTAATGCTATCATAGAAATCATCATATATTTTATAACTTTTAATAATGTTATTATTTATTACGTCATCTGCTTGGACCGGTCGAACCGTGAACCTCTCCTTCTTCCGGTTCGTTGGCCGGTCCGATTTTAAAAGCCTTGCTTAGATCAACTATTTGCTCTCACAAAATTTTTATAGTAAAAATCTTGTCCTTGAGACTTTCTCTTGTTTGTATTTTTTAGAGGTTATGAGTGAAGATTCTGTTTGTCATTTGCGATCACAGGACCTTTCTAACGATCTAACGAGGAGTACATCCACCATTAACTTCCCATTAAAGCTGCCTCATTGGTGAGGGGGGGTTTATAGCTCCTAAGTTAGAGCTAGGATGCACACAATGTTTTATAGCTCCTAGGTTAGAGCTAGGATTCACACAATGGTTCCTATATTGTTCCTTAGATCTTGCCAAAATAGATCTTTAGGAGGTTCCTAGAAACTTTCAAATCGCCACGACACCACAAACCACAATGCTACTATATTGTATGCTAAATCTGCAGAGTTATTGTAGATCAGAGACTTTGACACCACGATGATATTTATCTAGTGTCGTAGCACTCGCAAGCAAATTGTCATAGCACTTCAGTTTAGAATTATATATTTTCAAATAAATTCATTTTAAGTAAATTTGGGTTGTTACATTAGACCATCCAAAATATCATCCAAATAGTGTTGTCAAGAAAAGCTATGATATGAGGACAAGAAGCAGCAGTTGGAGGGGCCTCCTCAATACAAGTGAAGTCCTCAGTGCCTCTATAGGTGAGCAGGGCAAATCTAGCACCCTAAATGGTAGGAATATTAAGGACTGCCTTGTTGGTTGGTGATAGGGGTATAATTATCATTGCATTGACATTTATGCCACAAGATTAATCCTATTCCATCTTCCGAGGTTAGGCATATAGTTGGTGCGCTAAATTGATCTGCGAAACTTGATTAGAACTAACAATGGGTACCACAGGAGCTCTCTTTAAAGAATAAGCCTCAAGAATACAAGCATATGAGAAAGAAAAGGCAACTCGACCTACTCTCCCCTCTTCCTAAGAGAATGTGGGGATGGTGAAAGAAAAACAATAGTTGTTATTATTCCATTGCGACATTCTTCCGACAATGATAATGATTGTGGCTACAATAAGGGATATGCTATCTTGCCCTTTACCCATTTCTCCTCCTCCCATAGCCAACAAAATCAAATCTCTTATCTTATGAACTCGAAGAGTTTAAGAAAATATAAAATAATCGAGAAAAAAATATTTTAGGAACATTTAAATAATCTAAACTTATTATTTTAACTATTTAAAAAAAATGATCCTAAAAATGGCTTAACTAACCACATTATCCATGCTATCCACAACCGCACCATGCAAGTCCGGTTCAATCATCAGAAGTTTAATACATTTAAAGCTCAAATCAAGCTGTAAACGCTCCACATCAGCCCATAAAGAAATCCAATAAGGCCTCTCCTGAAATTTCCAGCTACCAGGAGACCGGCCCGTGAGCGCTACCGCGCCTGGAAGAAACTGGAAGCTTACAGACTATTTCGGAAACTTTCACCACTAAACCAAGAAGACGAAAGAATTCTCGAGAAGGCGCTGTCCTCTTCTCTTCCCCACTATAAATCTTCATTTGACGCCTTCGCTTCATCTCAATCGAAATCAAGCAAATACAATTTTCAGTTCTTAAGTCCTTCGCATCAGCGACTCTCATTTAATCATTCAAAAGAGATGTCGATCATTCGCAGGAGCAACGTCTTCGACCCCTTCTCCTTCAACATCTGGAACCCATTCGAGGGCATCAACACCATCTTCGACAACGCCCTCACCGCTCCAGGCTCCAATTACGCGAACGAGGTTTCGGCCTTCGCCAACACACGTATCGACTGGAAGGAAACGCCGGAGGCTCACATCTTCAAGGCCGATCTTCCCGGCGTCAAGAAGGAGGAGGTTAAGGTCGAGGTCGTGGAAGGCGGAGTTCTCCAGATAAGCGGCGAGCGGAAGAAGGAGCAGGAGGAGAAGAGCGATCGCTGGCATCGAGTCGAGCGCAGCAGCGGTAAGTTCCTCCGCCGATTCCGATTGCCGGAGAACGCGAAGGTGGATCTGGTGAAGGCTTCATTGGAGAATGGTGTGCTTAATATCGTCGTGCCCAAGGAGGAGGTGAAGAAACCCGAGGTGAAGTCGATTGAGATTTCCGGAGAGGGGAAGTAGTGAAAGCTGGTATGTGTCTCGACTCTCGAATCGCCGCTGCTCGTTGCTTGCTTTGTTGTTGATTTGGTCTGTTTGATAAAGTTGTCCTATGGGAATCGGCAAATCGTGGAAAGTGTGTACTGTTGTTTGTATCCAAGCTGTTTTAAAATAAATTAGCGGTGTTGATTATCTATGAAGTTAAATTTCTGTAATTTTGTCTGCCAGTATTCATAGTAATGAGATCCTTTTAATATGTCGATTGTGAATTATATGATCAATCAAAAGTTAGATCAACTAATATTGCGGATCAAATAAATTTTATAGTCCATTATTGATCCATTAAAAGTTTTGCTCGGCAGTTGGTGGAGAGTTTAAGAGCTCACTGATCTATCAAAGATTTTTATTATTAATAAGAATGGTGGTTTGTTTACATAGAAGATGATGTTTTAACTAGGTAGTTTTATGTTGAAAGATTTCAAGAGTTGTGTAATTCTACTTCTATGGAGGATTTTGAAATAATAATTAATATTTTGGCCTTCCAAAAAATGATAGAATCTCTTAAAAAGATGTAGAAGCCATTGACAAATCTCAGAATGCCAGGGTGATCTATAATGTGTATTAAAATGCCATGAGTTCTTATGAAGAAGTTGTCTAGAAAAGTAGGCCTGTCTTGAGGTGAAATGGCGAATTTAAAAAATAATTTGTGACAGTCATATCGTGTCAGATCATAAAAAAGATAGAAATCTCAAGATTTAATTGGAGAGAATTATAAAATTTTCATTTATTTATAGTCTACAGAGCTATTAAAACTTAAATTAAAATCTATAAATTCTAATCATCAAAATTATTTTCATTCATCTCAAGAATATTTACAATCAAAATATTTATCCATAAACAGGATATGACACAAACATTATAGATTAGAGGCTCCAAGCGCTTCCGTGCTGATGGCCAAGCCCTAGCATTAGGGTAAAGGCATTGACGCATCAATAGGAAGATTTTTTTTTTAAAGTCCAAAATTACTCTAGATTTAGATCCCAAAATTTGTCTAAAAAAATCATTCATAAAATTACATACATGAGAAATATTACTGGCGATGCCACTCCTGATGTGGGGAGATAATCGTTGGATCGTTGAAAGAATAATGCTTGAAGGATTTCCAAGAATAAGAGGGCAAACCAAGCTCAAAGGCTTCAATTTATATAATATTCATCAATAATATATTTCCTATTATAATGCATACATTTATAAACTATCTATAGAATCTTTTAGAAAAGCTTCTAACAAACTATAGTAAGCTACTCCTAAGGAACACTTAAACTATAATGTTTTACATCGCTTCTTCGCAAGAAAATCAAAACTCTCTTGGTACAAGTTTGCTTCTCATATATTAACCATGGAGGCACAAAGAATCCAAAAGATAAATAATTATAGTAACATTAACATTACATCCGGATAGTTGCATCTTTTTGCTGATTCAAGAACAGTTCTTCAACCGGGAAGATATCCTCCAGCTAACTTTAAGTAGCAAACACCGAATTCCCTGGAGCTGGAAGGGCAACAACTTTTCCCACCGCAATAGTTTTACCTTCAGAACGAAGAGTGAACCGCCCAAGCTGTGGAAAATCTGCAAAATTCTCAATGCATATCAAGTTGTTTACCTGTACTCTGCAAACAACAACAGCACCATTCTTAACAAAGAGAGGTTTCCTCTTAGGCTTTCTTTTCTTTGGATCCGCATCTTTCTTCTTCTTCATCACATCAATTTCCTCTATAAGCTCGACAATCTCCGACTCCTCGACAATGGAATGGATGTGCAGTATTGCTTTGTAACCAGCAGTGAATATAGCGTTATCGAGAAGCTCTAGAATTTGCAACTGAGCATTGAATTCAAAAACGGCATTAACTGGATTAAAGACATTTGAAAGTACAAAACCAGACAATATGTCTTCTTCTTCTACTCCAGACACTTTCACCCTGACATTTTCACCAGGCCCAGCTCGTCTTGTCTTTTTTTCATCACAGAATATGGCAAGCACTTTGACATGCGCTTTATTTGGCATGACCAATAAGCTATCACCCTCTTGTATGGTTCCAGACTCAATCTTTCCCATCAATACAGTTCCCATGTCCTTGTATTTATCAATAATTGGCATCCGAATAGGCCCTTTAGGATCTCTCAATGGAATTTCAATAGAATCCAAGACTTGAAAAAGACATGGCCCATCCCACCAACCACAAACTTTCTTGTCCACTCTGCTTGCCATATTGATTCCCATCAAACCAGATATAGGGAGAAAATGAACATCTTTCCTAGCATTATAACCCGATGACTTTAGGAAAGGAATCATCTTTGTTTCTATCTCATCATATCTTTCTTTGGCCCAATTCACCGTAGGTTCATCCATTTTATTGACAGCCACAACCAACTTTGAAACACCCAGTGTTTTGGCAAGTTGAACATGCTCACGGGTCTGCCCTCCCTTCTCATATCCAGTTTCAAATTCACCTTTCCGTGCAGATATGACTAGAACTCCAACGTCAGCTTGAGAAGCACCGCTGATCATGTTTGGCACATAGCTTTTATGTCCTGGAGCATCTAAAATTGTAAATCTCGTATTTTCTGTTTCGAAATGTGCTCTTCCGACCTCCACAGTTTTTCCCTTTATGCGTTCTTCCTCATTAGTGTCCATAATATAAGCCATATACCAGCTCTCTCGGTTTTTTTCCTTTGCCTCCTTCTCATACTTCTGAATAGTTCGATCATCAACCTGACCACTGAGGAGAAGTAACTGCCCTCCAGTTGTTGACTTACCTGCATCAACATGCCCGATGAAAACAACATTCAAATGCCGCTTTTTCTCTTCTTCTTTTTCCCCAGGATCTTCAATTTCCTCATGTTCAAGCAACTTCACCTCTTTTTTCTCCAATTGCAACTCCTGGAGGTTTGATTCTACCTCCTCATGGTAGCGCTGAGCGGGCACAAGAGGCGGTGAATCCACCCTCTTAGATTCGATGACGATCGGAGAGACAGGTAACGTAGCCTCCTCTACAGAATCGTCTTCCTCTTGGCTCCAATCGTTCCCGTTCTTGCCATCCAGGAGGGCGGGTGATTGGACGACTATCTCGGCTCTCCGGACCACCTCCATCGTTCACGACGATTACTAGCGAGCGGCTAGGGATACTTGTCGATGCTCTTGCAAAATTTGTAAATTTTTGTACTAAAAAACTGCCGTAAAAATCAATAAAAAAACTTATTGATCGAACAAGATTATGCGAAGGACTTGAGAATCGAAAAATGTTCGCATGATTTTGAAGGAAAGAATTGCAATGAATATTTATAGATGAGGAGGTAAGAGGTCATCACCTTACTTCTCGATCTGTCTTTCCGCCTGACTCGGTCCCATAATTCTATTTACGGAGCGGGCAAAGTAGTTCGTTGGAAGATTTATGGGATCTGTTGGTTGCCGTGGAGCATTTAATGCTATATTTTGCCTAATGCTAAACATGCCGTGTGTGACGCGGTGAGGGTTAGCATGAATGGAGGAGTGGTTATTTTAGGTCATATTTAGGATATTTTTATTTTCTTTATATATTAAAAATATTCTAAAACATGTTTATTTAATTATATTTTAAATAACTTATTTGTTATAAAAGTATTACAAGTGAATGTAAAAAAAAAAAAAAAACCTTTTTTCCCCGTACATCATTATTTTCTCCCAAAAACCACTAAAAAAATAGCTAATTAGACCCATCAAAGATTATCGCTAGAAATGATAATTTGGCCTCTTGTGCTGATGCTTTTAGTGGCCAAAAATTTTTTGGTGGCTAAATAGTGACCACTATTTAGTATTGGTGCTAAAATTGAACATATTAGCAACTTTTTACGCTAATATATATTTATTTGGATGCTATTAATAATATTAATTATTAATTTTATTTTACATTTCTATATCAACAAAATATAAATTTGTCACCTAAAGATCTAACCAATAAATCACATCCACTTATTTCAGATGTGTTGATATATATTTATATATATTATATAATTTAAAATAACAGAAAATATCATTAATAAAAGGATGGTTACAAAGTCACACAAAACAGAAACTCACTAAACTAACACAATTAAGAGTAAAACCTATTGAGCTAAAAAAACCAAAACAAAAAAAAGGATAAAACCAACCAAAATAAGGGGGGCGGCCTCGAGCATCAGCCAGAACAGCCATCATCTTCGAGGACCTTCGCAAGACCATCCAGAAGATAACAAGCCCGACGGTTGCCACAAGGAAATAACGGGAGGGGAAGGCCCAGCCAACATCGCCTGCAACAGCCCAGCGGAAAATCGCAAAAATAAAGGAAAATCAACCAAATCATCTTCTTTACCTCCACGTTTCCAATTTCCCACGAAATCTCCCCCTCAAAGATCTATTCGGCACGCCATCTGTCAACTCATAATCAGAATCTAAAACAGATTCAGAACCGAATTCTCTCCGAAAATTAATTAACCAGTCACCTTGAAGCCCAACAACCATTTCAGATTACTACCCAAAAATCATTTTGGGTTCCATTAGCTTCACAGGCAACAGTAACCAAATTCTAGGAATTAACCAACATTCCCTGGCACTTCCATATTAGCATTTATTTCCCCACCAACGAGACCAAACTATCACAATTTACTCTGATTTCACAGCAAAATCATCGTCAACCCTCAGTACCAGCCCATCTCCCTCGGTAGGAACCGACTCCTGCAAAACAACATAGAAACCAACCTCCCATGCAATCCGGCTCCAGAATGTCAACCGAAATACCCTCATTCACCGCAAATGATCAGTTACGACAGACGAAGAAAAAAGGGCACAGCATAGGAGACAATGAAATTTTTCGCCTTTCAACCGCAACCTCATTTTCCACCAGTAAGTATCCTCCATAGATTATATCCAAACAAAACACAACCGTTGGCTTAAAAAGCCTGATCTCTTTATCAGAATCAATAACAGGCACAACGACTCCAACACATTCGACTCAGCATAACAGTTCATTTTGAACATCAACAACACAGGTTCCTCCAACACCGGAGCTGTCACAACGATTTTTCGCAGTTTTAGATACATTACGATTCGGGGTGCAAAATTGGACAAGCATTCCTTAGAATGACCTAGAGAACTACAATGATTACAAAAACTGGGAATTTCATCAAATATTTAACATTCTGAATATACCCAGATCCACAGATCCAACCGCATATCTTCTCCT